AAGTTATTAAATAATAACAAAACTCTTTTATAAAGTCTAAATTTGTGTTTGTTGAGTACAAGTTGTTTTAGTGGTACCTGCAGGATGCATGTGTGCAGTATATCTGTAGATCCACATTCTTCGTCCACCTCATTCAGCCCAACCGCATAGTCTCGGATTACTCTGCAATATTTTATTATGGAACATTAGTATTCTGCTCTCATGTAAAAAAAACGTCCAGTTGCTTGAAAGAGTTCAAGATAATTTAACGAGGAAATTAGTCATTGAGTCCAGGATGGCCTCCTATTCCAATTTACCTGATCCTACTCGCAGAAATCGATGTTCAAATTATACAGCTTGTGTACCCGCAGAAAAGTTTACGATGTTTGCATGGTATTCAAAATGCTTGTCAGGTATTGCCAGAGTTGATGCATCCAAATTTTATGAAAGGGTCAAATCAAAAACTGGAGGTGGATCGGAGAAGATTTCATGGGCATTGCCAAGAACCAACTCAAAGCGATAATCTTAAATCAAAAGTGGCTCCTGCCCCCCCCCCCCCACCCGCTTTTTAACTTTTCAAATATCTTGAACAGGGTGAATATCTCGAGGATTCCTCAACGGCACGTCGAGGATTTTCGCCTGATCAGTTACGTCTCCCGCGCGGACATTCACACTCGCCATGCGCGAGCCGTCTGTGCTCTCCGCGCGGACGTTCACTCTCGGCACTACTCTCGCACAGTAGAGAGCATGGTCGAGGATTTCCTCGACCGTTATTCACCCTGCTTGTGAAGTAGGAATTGTTGAGCTACAGTTAGTGGAAGTGTACTGTGACCATTTGATGATGCTCAGTTTGTTTCTTACGTGGGCCTATGCAGCGTTACCAATAGATAAATAAGATGTACAAACAGCTACCGTTACTGAAGTTTCGGAATAGGAGGTGTTCAGCTGGGAAAGTGCTGCAGATTACCACTGAATGTGGCGAATGCGCGGAAAAAACATGAAGCACATGCGGGATATATACGTCCCTCCCATGGAGGGCTAGCTTTAAGTGGAATGAGTAGCCGTTCATTAGGCTCATACACCTGCATTCTCATTTCGTAGACATGATCAAGGAGGACAGCACCCAAGAAGCTAAATACGCTAGGAACCGTGAGGGCACCTCGAACAGGAAAAACGCATGGCATGTATCTTGAAAATCGGGCAGAACAAATAGATAACAAACAGTAATCGAAACTGTCCGTTTGTCGACGGTGAAGCTCAATTGTGTATGAGAGCACATCTTGAGTTGTCAACTACAATGGCCCGCCCAGCGCAGCAGCAAGCCGCGCAGCGACTGATCAGCATGCACTTCTATCATTTCAAGTCCCTGCGCGTTAGTAGTTAGGAATTTCGTGAGCTTTCAACTTCGTGATGGAGCTGGCAATACCATTCTATTATACAATTCAGAGAATTACGAA